ATGAAAATCATATTACTATCTAAAAACCATATTATTTTCTAAATAAAAAAACACTACAAAGTAATTGTTATATTCCAACGGAAAATTCTATGGTAATATATTCTAATGGAAATTCCAGCGGATATTCCAATGGTATAGATTCCGTTGGAATAGTTCCAACGGAAGTTCCATTTTTCATTAGAATTTTTGATGGAATTTGATGATTGCAACGACTATATTTCCAACGACTTTTTACCGTAGGAATTTCCGTTGAAATATGTAAATTCTGTTGGAATTTTTATTTCCACTCCCGTTGGAAAATCTACCGTTGGAATCGTCAAAATTCAACAGAAATTCCAATGGAAAATTCATTCCAACGGAATATTTTTGTTGGAATTTCTGTTGGAATCCATTGGAAAATTCCAACGGAAAAAATTAGTATTGAAATATTGGAATTGTCGTTGAAATAATTCTTTTGAAATAGATTTCCGTTGGAATTTAATCATTTTTTTTGCAGTGAAACGATCTAAATTGTTTTAGAAACATCAATTTGTTTGATAGATATTGTCAAACGAATATTGTTAATTAAGCTTTCACGTGGATTTTAAATTTGTTCACATATTGTAAATTATAAAAAGAATTTGAGCAAAATAGGATTACTTCTGAATTTTAAAAAATATCGTTTGTTTAGATAAATAACTTAAAAAAGATATACAATTTCAAACGTGTATCCTAATTATTCCTAAGGTCTAATTGCAAAATATAGCCAGTATTTTGTACGCAGTGGCAATATTAGCCACCATCTTTACGAATTGGCAATATTAGCCAACAACTTGAAAAATTTTGGGGTTATTACCTATGTCCGACCAAATTCGATGGCTATTGTTGTCACTACGTAAGAAGATACTGACTATATTGTGTAATTTATTTGTCGAATTTGGTTTGATTTGGGTAATAATATCGAAATTTTGAAAGTTATTGGCTAATATTGTCAATTCATAAATATGGTGGCTATTATTGTCACCGCGTACAAGATACTGACTATATTTTACAATTTAGCCTATTCCTAAATTAGGTGATTTAGCCAAATTTTCAAACTTTGACTTTATTAAAAGGCAAAATTGCATATAAAAGCACCACCTTTCATGGTTTTGTATTTTAATCACGACATTTGCATATTAGCACTTAAGTACATGACCTTTTATCCTTTTGCAAGTCGAAACATGCCTTTCATCTCCGACACAAATAAAATGACGTGGCTTGCCGGAAACACATGTGGAATGTTTAAAAAAAGAAAAGAAAAATAAAAATCCACTTTGGACTGTTTTTGACACGTCACTGCACCAAAAAATTAAAAAACTAAAATTTAAATCCACGTTCCGAGGAGAAATAATAAAAATCCCCAAATTGAAGAAAGAATCAAATTTAAAAAAATCCTCTCTAAAGGCAATCTCAAATCTCAAAATCAAAATCGACAAATCCAAGGCTTCAATACGAAAAATCCAAGACAAATCGGCCTTATTCTACATGAAAATCACCAATTCTAGGTTGAGGAGTTGTTGTTCGACTGTTAGATCCACTCGATATTTTGAAGAAAAACTGGAAATTTTGGAAACACGACGTGGATTTTGTGTTTTTTATTTTTTATTTTTAATCCATGTGTTATTACCAGAATGGGCGATATGAATTTCATTTTTCTTTCTTTTTTTGAACATTCCACATGTGTATTTCGACAAGTCACGTCATTTTATTTGTGTCGGAGATGAAAGGCATGTTTCAACTTGCAAATGGATGAAATGTCATGTACTTAAGTGTTAATATGTAAATGTCGTGATTAAAATGCAAAAACATGAAAAGTGATGCTTTTATATACAATTTTGCCTTATTAAAATAAAAACATTTTGGGAATTTCTCAGAATATATATATATATATATATATATATATATATATATATACAAAAAAATCACTAATAATTTTAATGTAGAATTTTATATATAAATCCATGAATAGATATTTTCATAATTTGTGCTATACCAACATTTTAACAATTTAATTCTCACTCTACATTTTAACTCTGTATTAAGAATATACCTTCTGAGCTCAAAACCCATAGAAAGGGCCATGAGGTAGGACCCACCTTACGATTTGTAGTTATTGTCGTATAAAGCCAATGAGTATTCTTTTGCATCAATTAAACGTGTTACAACACACCATCATGCCTCATGCAGGCCGAAGAAAGATACAATTCATAGTATTATAAAAGCATGTGAAATGTTAAAGTTCCGTTACGGAACTATTCTTTCTGAATTTATAACCGTCAGATAATTATGTAATCATCGTGGATAATTGATATTCTGACGGAATGGTCGGACTGCAGTATCCCCCAATAGCATGATTATATAAAATAAGAAAAATGAAAATCGATGATCCACACATTCAAATTGCTTTGTACCTACAAAGCATTCACTCCTTTGTGTTCATTCGAAAATATTTATGTAACTAGAAAACAAATTAAGTCTAGAAAATATATTTTTCAACACAAATGCAAGTAGATTAAGTCCTATTGATATGATATTATATTAAAAAAAAAATACCGTTAAGTATGTTTTAGAATAAGTACAAACATACTCTTTTTGCATTGAAATGAATTTTATTAATTTCCAAGATTTAGTTTATTTATTTAAATGTCACACCGACAAAACTAGCGAAACTACTCAATGCCGCATTCTAGACGCTCTAATTTATTCTTCCATGAAATGACGAAAATACCACAGTTGATTACCCTTCGTTCAATTAACCTGGACAAAAAAGTTCAAAGGCGGCAAAGGACAGTATAGTCTTTTCACTTCGATATGAAGGCATAAATTAGCGATCAAGATAACACACAATTCACCACCAGTAAACGAAATTCTTCCACCATAGCTAAAAGCTTTTCGATAGTGAGAAACGAGAGGTGCACAAATGGGTTCTCTTAGCAAGGTATGCAACTTCTTCATTTGTTTTGGTTCATCTTTTTTCGATTCAATGTCTTTCAATTTGTTTCGAATCGTAAATAAAATTCGCATTTATGGCCGTTTTTTGTTTTCTAATTCGTTTCGATCTGATTACGTTTCGTGCTTGTTTGAGTTGTGAATGGTGTAAATCAATCAATAAAATTCGTTTCGATCTGATATATGTATATATATCGAGACACGAGCTGCTCGACAATGCAAAATATGGCTGGAGGTCGACTCGAGTTCGGTTAAACTCGACTCGAACGCGAGCGAGCGGCTGACTCGGTTGCAGCCCTACCCAAACCCCTTTCGTGTTTCTAATAGGAGCTGTAGATTTTTCACTCCTTAAATCATATGTCTATTTAATATACAAGGTATGTTGGATTCATGCGTTCTCTATATTTCGATTGCAGTCAAGTGTTATTTTTTGTGAATCATATTAGCTTAGTGTTGGTTGGCCATCCTAGCATAGGTTCTAAAGGTTACAATCGTTGCGACTCTTATTCATTTGGGATAGAATCAAGTTCCCCAATTGAGTTCATTTCCTGTAATTTTATAATTTTCTGTGTTAAGGTTGATATAGATAAGATAATCAGGTTTTACTATTTTTCTTAACAGCTTATATGATATTTAGAGACTTTTGATCAGTCTCGTCTTGCAGCTTTTATGGGTCAAGTGATGTCTTTGCGCTTTCCCTTTTAATGGTGCTACTGATGCTGGATTTCAGCTTGTACCAGTATTTTTGGTTCCCTAAATTCTAATAGCGATTGTGCCATTTGAGTTGTTTCCACTATTATAAGAGCAAAATTGTACGTAATGAATAAAATGTGATCCTGATTATATTCTGCAGTCTCTATTTTTTAATTAATCTTTTCATGTCTCGATGAGAGTTTGCTTGTTGCTTCATGATTTGGTTGATCGAACTTATGTTTCCGACATATAAATATGTGTTTTCTTATTCTGGAAGCCAAAGAGGATTAAAAAAAAAAAAAAAATTAAAAATGTGTTGGCTGAATCTACAAATCTGATGCTTCAAGATGTTTGAGATATTATACAATAATGTTTCTAAAACCAGGTTGTTCTCATGTGTGGGAACCTGTGAGCACTCTAAGTAAGATGTGAGGAGTAAGAAGAAATTATTGGAAGTTCCTAAATTATTCTTAGAGTCTTAAGAAACTCCTTTAGTTGTGAAAAAATTTATTAGAGAAATAAAATCATTATTCATATCTTATGTCATACGTCTCATCATTAGTTTCATTATATCCAGATATTTCAAAAGTTGTTTCTTAAGTAAGACAGAACGTCTTTTTAGCCGCAGAACACTCTTGGAACATGTATGACAATATGATGTTTTTAATTTACCCACACCTCTTTGTATTCATATTGTTTTGTCCTCGCTTTTCGAACCTTTCTTAGATTTCGAATTAACAAGTGACTTTTTATTAGCAAAACACACCTAAAAAATATGATCTCGTTATTTCCATTAACAGTACTTTGCCGCCATTCTGCATAAGAAGACATGCCAAAATAAAAGGTAGAGCCACTCTTGAGTACTTGACCAATTTTATAAACAAATATTTCATGCAGGATTCAAGGGAAGAAGTGATTCAGGCATGGTACATGGATGACAGCACTGAGGATCAGAGACTTCCTCATCATAGGAACCCACAGGAATTTGTGTCCTTTGAAAAACTTGATGGTACGCATTATCCAGTTCCTATATCCTTAACAGAAATTGTGCACTTTTTCTTACATTAGTTATTTTTGTGGATTTTCTGAGCTGTTGATTTGTAATTTTCATAGAGCTTGGAGTGCTTAGCTGGAGGTTAGATGCTGACAACTATGAAACAGATCCAGAGCTGAAAAAAATTCGCGAAGCTCGTGGATATTCTTACATGGTATGCTAGTTGTAAAGTCTGGATATTTGAGCATTTTTCTTTCTTTTTTTTTTTTTTTTTATAATTATATTTTTTCTTTGAAAAATGGCTATTTGTTCTCCTGTGTAATATTAATCTGGCTGGACTTGTAACAAATGTCAGGACTTCTGCGAAGTTTGTCCGGAAAAACTTCCAAACTACGAGGAGAAGATTAAGAACTTTTTTGAAGAACATCTGCACACTGATGAGGAAATTCGGTATTGTGTTGCAGGGAGTGGTGAGTGCATGATGACTATAAGTTGAATCGGTGAAACATAAGAATCTAACTGGTTTTATTCTCACATGTAAAAGTAAATATATTCTTTTAAAGGTTATTTTGATGTGCGTGATCGTGATGAGTCTTGGATCCGCATTTGGGTGAAGAAAGGGGCCATGATTGTCCTACCAGCTGGGATTTATCATCGTTTTACACTTGATTCAGACAATTATATCAAGGTAATGATCAGAGGAGCATGTGTTAAGCTTCTCTGAACCAGGATTTTTGCTTCAAACTAGTTTTAGATGATAACACAAGGGATTAATCATTTTTTTTTTCCTGTTGCGCTTTCACTTTTCGTTGATTCTTTGTTTACTATTTTTTAATATTTTGAACTTTTGGATTCATATTTGAAGTTTGTTGATACTTGAGAACATTAGCATAATAATCCTAGATGCATCTGTTGATTATTAAGTTTTTATATGCAGGCAATGCGGCTGTTTGTTGGTGAGCCTGTATGGACCCCATATAATCGCCCTCATGATCATCTTCCTGCTAGGTGTGATTTTTATTTTCTCAATATTTAATACATTCTAAAGCTCCAATCCCTAATCTTTAGTGTGTGGTGATACTAATCAAGGATAATTACCTCACCAAAGGGGTTTAATCTAAAATGTCCAATCACATAACAAGAAAGTTAGTTACAAAACCACCCTTATCTGGTACTAGGGCTGGGCAAAAAATTCGAACCGAACCGCTAAATCGTAGATCCGAATCGAAATCGAACCGAATTTTCGGTTAACCGGGGTACTCGGTTCGGTTACAAATACCTCAAAGGAAGTATTTGCTCGGTTCGGTTCGGTTACGGTTTTTAGGATTTTTTTGCCCCGGTTAACCGAACCGAACCGAACCATATATTATATTAAAATTTATAATATATATATATATTATATTATATATTATATATTAAATTTATATATATTATACTAACTTATATTTATATATATTAAACTATATATATTAGGTTTGCTCGGTTCTCGAATTAATCGAACCGACCCGAAACGAGCAAACCTAACACAGAATTGTATTAGGTTTGCTCGGTTCGGTTCGGTTCGGTTAATTCGCGAATAGTAGGATTTTTTTCGGTTAGGTTTCGGTTAGCAAGTTCGAATATTTGCTCGGTTCGGTTCGGTTAGCAAATACCTGAAAAAACTCGGTTACTCGAACCGTGCCCAGCCCTATCTGGTACTGACGAAAAAACCCAATTGCTGTATAAATATATACCTTTTAATTTGTTTCTCTTTTACTAATTGCTCCCTCAAGAGTAAGGTATTTGTTAGGTAAAAATATACTCTCCCCAATCGGAAAGAATAAAAAAAGTGAGAGGTGTTTGCCGTCACTTGGAGGTGGAAATATAATAATTCTTGAGTTGCAACCGAACTTCCTAGTCAGGCATATAGCTTTTGTAGTCCCCGATGAAGAAAGAAGTTGCGAACGAAGGATTTTAATAGTCAAGGATATTTTATGTGCAGGAAACAATATGTTGAGACCTTTGTGGAGAAGGCCGAAGCTGGTCAAGCTGTTGATGCTGCAGCTTGAGAAAAGTTTGCGTCTTTTATGCAAGGAAAAAAAATTATTTGGGAGCGTATAAAAGCCTGTACGGACTTATGAATATCATTGTGTGAAGTTTATTTGAAGAGCCATGCTGTGTGATATATTATGAGCTTATGCTAATAATAATGGACCCTATGTTCTGATATTGTGAGACTTGCTTGACTAAGATTTGTATTTGGTCCATTACCTGGTATTGTATGCTAGTACATGATTTTCCTTTAAACTTGTCTTTTCTGCTGGTCGTTATGACTGAGTTTTGCCATCTTGTACATCCCCATGTAGTTGCCTCAGGCAACCTGTCCCAATAGTTTTTTTTGTTTTTTTTTTCCCAACGATAGAAATTATATTATATATATAACAAAGCAAATACAGACTAGTTAACGCCCACAAGCCGACAGATCAGGCTAATAGTCAAAACTAGTTGGGAGGCCAACAGAGCAGCCAAGATTCAACAAAGAACAAACAACTCAACGAAACTCCCAAAGGGAGAACACATTCCCAAAAAGAGAACGGAACTCCCACAAGTAGAGACAAAATAACTCCCACTAGGGATACAAAAAGAACTCCACACTGGAGAAAGAAGAACAGAGACAAGAAAAAAGATACAGAGAAAACTACAACTAGACTAAAACTAAACAAGTGCCCTCCCCACCAGTCGAAAACGCGCACCAAACAGATACAACATAAACAAGCACCAAGGCGATAAACGAAATCGGAAAGCAACACCACCCACTGCCCACACTGAATCGAGAAACACCAAAAACGGATACCTCGGCCTGACTTGGCAAACTCGAGCTCCCCCACAGTTCACCACCTGGATCAGCCCTGGTAGGCCTGAACCGACGTGCTCCCTCACCATACCCCCGTCATCGCATCTCCGAGAACCGCCACCGTCCGGAGAGATCCAGCGTCCTAGCACCAGGGTCAATCGAATAAAGGGATACCGAGGCTCAGGCCTCAAGCTGATGGCCACAAGCAACCACCAGCCTAGCCCATCGCTCCACCGCCAAGCCGATGACCGCAACCTAAATTGCACCGTGGCATCCGGTAACAGGAAGAAACCCACGCGAAGAGGACGACCACCATGAGGTTTACTCCAGGAAGGGTTTTTAGTTTTTACTGATGTGGATGAGTTGTGTTTGTGATGCGGATGATTTTTTCCATCTCTATTTGCTTTACATGATTTTAAAACCTCATGGAAGATCGAGTAAAACACATATGCAACCACATGATATTCATTAAAATTCTCCAAATCACTACGCAAAACAAACCTAAAATTATGCAAAATCAGAAAAAGAACAAAAAATAAATAAATATTTAAATAAGAAAAAAACGTCAGAAAGTAAACCTGAAACTCAAACAGCTTCTCAGATAACCAAGAACCGAAAGCTTGAGAGCACAAGATAACTCTCTCTCTCTCTCTCTCTCTCTCCCGAAATTGTGAGGAGAAAAAAAAGGGGAATCAAGACTTTCAATTTTGTTATATGCAAAGCTACTGTTAAAAGAAGCAACATTTTTTTTTTAAACTGGCGGATGGACCCAAAAAAACTATATGTAACAACTATTTACCAAATATTTTTTTTTACAACAACTAAATGGATCAAAAAGTTCTGTTGAGAGCAAAAAGATGAAAAACAAACAGGGCCAAAATGAAATGCGTAATCCCACTTTTAATTAATTAATATGATAAAATGTGTTGAAGATTATAGTCGACATTTAATTTATAGTTTCTGTTTGTCCTTTTTTTATGTTTTTCGTTGTTATTTTTTCTTTATTTTTCCCCTCGTTTTAGGTCTTTTTGTTGATTTTTAGTTCGATTTTCCATTTAATGCGTGATTTCATCTATTTGGGTGCTTTCGATGTTTCTCGTTTTGTTTTTTGTTTTCTCCATTTTTGTTTTCGTTTTATGATTTGCAGGTCGGGTGTATGAGTCGATTACAAAGTAAAGGTGACAATTGTTATGGGAAGCTGAAATTGGTAAAAGAATGCTCGCTCATAAAAAGAAAAGTAGGGAATCAAATTCGGAGTGAAACGAGCTAGAACGGACATGACACGCAAACGAGTAGCAGCACGAGCTCAAATTAAGAACCTGAGAGAGAGAGAGAGAGAGAGAGAGAGAGAAAGAGAGAGAGAGAGAGAGTTGCATCATCATCGCACCGTGCCCAGCTCCGCGCCGCTGCACTACACACCCGCAACTCCGGCAGCCCTCCACGCCTGCACCATGTCGCGAAACAGAACTGCGCCGCGCCAGCCTTCTCCTACCACGCCGTGAAGACCATACCATGCCGTGAAGACCTCTCATGCCACACCACGAAGACTGCATCACGCCGTGAAGACGCCATCTCCCGCACCGCGGCAGACAGCACGCCGCAGCGCCTGCTACTTAATTCCCGGCGTGCTCAATTTTTCTCTTCCGCGGCCGCGACCTCTCCTTCACCGCGGCCGCGGCAAACAACGGGTCCCAAGCACCGGACTTCAGCTCCTCGAAACTCGCGGTCACGGTGATCTTCTTCACCGCGGCCGCGACCTGCGCGTTTTACAGATTTTTAAGCTCAGAATTTTAGAAACGATATTCATTCATGTTTTATCCTAGGTTTTAGTACTCTCTCGTACTTTTGAGGGGATTTTCACTTCTCTTCCATCATTTTGATCGTAGAACAAGGATTTTATATCGGATTTTCTACCGCTTTTAGGATTAATCTTGTTTATCGAATTCAACTTCGGATTTATCAATCATAAGATTCTCTTTTAATTTAATCATTAAATATGAATTCTTGGGTTGTGATTGCTTTCGTTGATTGATGTTTTAATTTCGATTGTAATTGTGGGTGTTCGTTGATTGTTCTTTTCATGCGAGCTGATCTTTTTAAAGGATTTTTCAACTGTCAGGCTTGAGTATGGAAATTGTTGAAGAGTGACACTCCAACTTACAATTGTTTCAATTGAATTTGATTTACTCGTGCATGATGTTGGTTATTCTAATTGACTAGTCGGCTAATCACCCTCTAGACTATCTTAATCGACTCTCAGAACCGAAAGGGGAGAAGTCGGTCGAATTAGGCTCGTATGAACTAGGCTTGTTCGTAACTGTATTTGTCGTTCTAGTTTGTTCTCTTGTTACGAAGAGTTATTGAAGATGAGTGCTAGAAAGTGTATGTTATTCAAATCACTTAACTGAACAATCGTTTGCCCATTAATTGTAATTCGAACCAAAACGGACATCCCCGACTCCCTAGCTTCTCAAATCCTGCTTGTTCTTCGTTGCTTGCTATTTTTATTGCTTTATTTGAATTCTTGTTGTAGTTGATAATTAAAAACCAACATATTGTTTGACTTAGAATGTTTAGGAATTTTACTTCTTTTCGTGTGATTGAATAAACGCGCATTTTTATTTCGGCTAATCTTTCTCGTGAGACACGACCCGGTGTTCGAATCTTTCGATTCTACTACGGAAAAATATTCACAACAGTTTCGACTTTAATACTATTTCATAATGCATCACACTAATATGTAAGTCTTATCTTAGTTAATATAAGTATATGTCTTAGTTAATTGATTTATGTAGCTAGCGATTCACGATAAGAAAGTCCGAGCTTGTTTGAGTGGCAAGATGTTTCACCTATGACCGATACGTCATGAGTTCGTTAATTGATTTATGTAGCTAGCGATTCACGATAGGAAAGTCCGAGCTTGTTTTGAGTGGTAAGATGTTTCACCTATGACTGATACGTCATGAGTTCGAGATTCATTGAAGAGGAAAAATGAGAATACTCCTATAAATCCATTTTGATTTTTCCGTCCTACAAACCCATTTTGATTTGTGAAAATAGCTATTTTCACCCCATTTTGAAGTCCAGCTAAGTTTTTCACACCGCCCAATAAAAAACTAAGTTTTTCGCCCCAGAAAGTGAAAGACATTGTGCGATGAATATGCGACAATTGTGCGATGACATTGTGCGAAAGTTAAAAGTGCGAAGACATTCGCATATCTCTTCGCACTTTCTGAGGTAAAAAAAAAAGTTAAAATGCGGAGGCATTGTGCGATGAATATGCGATAATTAGGCAATTGATATGCGAGAGTTATGCAGTCCATTCGCATAACCTTCGCACTTTACGGAGTGAAAAATCTTAATTTTTTATTGAGTGGTGTGAAAAACCTAATGTATCTTTGTATTGGGGTGAAAAAGATTTTTTCCCTTTTGATTTTTGATATGGGACATAGACATGGCCACGGGCCGACCCGGCCCGTGGCCCGACCCGTGACCCGATACCTGCCCGGCCCGGCCCGGTACCGGTACCGGCATGAATAGTGCCAGTTTTTAGAACCGGACCGCGGCCAATCCGATCCGGTTAAGGGTCACGGTTTTTTCTTTTTTTGTCCCGGCGGGCTGGGCTGGGCCGGGCCGGGTCGCGCCGGTTCATGTTGCTTTTTTTGTGGATTTTTAAGGGCCGTACCGGCCCGGAACCGTCCGAGACCCGTCGGGCTGTTGAACCGGCGGTTCCGGGCCGGTTCTATGAACCGGCCCATATGTTTTTTCGGGCCGATTACGGGCCATAATATTGAGGCCCGCCGACCCGGCGGGCCGGGCCGGGCCGCGACCCGGCACCTGGTCACTTTAATGGGACAAGAGGAAAAAAACTGGGAAAAGAGGAAAAAAACTAAAAAATAAAAATCCGTCCTACTCCTATATACCCATTTTGATTTTTGATGATATGAGAAAAGAGGAAAAAAAAATGACCATTTTGATTTTTGATATTGGAAAAGATGAAAAAAAAAAAAATATGAAATGAGATAAAGTTTGAGATAAGTCTGAGGGCAATATCGTCAAAGTGCATGACTTGTGCAGTCCCTTTGCTGTCTCTGTTAAATGCTAACCATCGTCTAAGTCGTAATAATATTCCTCGTATCAAAACTCCGTTCTCCATTTCAGATCTAACCACATTTTTTACGCGCAACCATATACAAAATCCGTTCGTGTTGGCGCTGCTACAAATACAGGATGGGCGGAGTGCCATCGACGCCTCGACTCGCCGGCGGAGCGCGGCCGCACGAGACGGCGGAGTACTTGATTGGCGAGTTTGTCGGTGAAAAATCTTTTCCTCTCGCGTCCGATTACTGGCAGAAGCTTCTCGAACTCCCTCTCGACCTCCGATGGCCATCGCACCGGGTCCGACAAGCTTGCCAACTCCTCGGTAAGCGCATTGTCCCTTTTGCTCGTCCTTTTTCAATGAAGAAATGTTCTCGTTAGTTTCTTATAGTCATTGAAATTGTGGGGTCGTGTGCTTTTTCGCTTAACTATTGTAATTTCATCGTGAGTGAGCTTCCCCCCTGTGCCTTAGAGTATTTATTTCAAGTAGCTTTTTAGTCAAGTGATTTTAAATTTGTGTCATCGAGTGTCGGTGTGAGTATCTCTTGCACTGGTCTTGGGCTTAGAACAATCCCTGTAAGATATATTCTATATGCCCTTCAGAACCTTTGTTACCTGATTTCTTCAGTCGTGGGAGATGATGATTGTTTTGCCCAACTAAGGGTGTAACTGAAGTTAATTAGATGCCAATTGTTTCTTTTAGTTTAGGCTGCTGTACTTATGCTTGGGTCTAAGGTGAACTGAAGCTCAGATAGCGTCTCTTATCCTGCTTTCCGGTTGTTTAGGTTGAGGAAATTTGTTTTCATTGGTATTGGAAACTACTTCTGTATCATTCCAGCGTAATGTGAAGTTTCCCATACTGGGCTCCATATAATATTTTTCATGGATGCTTATTGGTTGAGAAACGTTAAGAGAAATTCGCTGCGGTATATGTTAGCTGTGTTTTATGGTCTGTATGTTTTTACTAGATTATTTATTTACGGGATTGGTTCTCATTTGATTATGCTTGTGCAATGCAGCCAAGAACAATTGTAGGACGAGGCACCTTGCGAAAATTTTGATTCACTTAGCTTGGTGCTTGCAAGAGAGTGTTTCTGCTTCTGATATGGTGTCCCTTGCTTTCTCGAAAGCTGTAAATGCTCTGTTTGTATCATTTGTTTTTCTGAAGTATCTAATTGAAACTTCTAAGAGTGACGAGTTTGAAGAACTGTACTTATCGCTGGACGAAACTGATTCACTGCCCAGTAATTTTCCAAAAGGTTCGCCTTGTAGCTATGGACAATCTGTTTTTCATTTTTTTTTCTTTTCGTTTATGGTACCTTGAAAATATCTTTGTTCATTACTTGATTATATTTTACTCGTCCATGGTGACTGTAATCTTCATGATGACTGCAATCTTTAAATTGAACTATAAATCATTTCCATCAGCTTTAACTTTATTGTTCGTATAATTAACTGTGTAAGTCCATTTCACGTGTGTTTCATTGGAATATATTTTGAACAGAAAATACATAGCAACAAACTAAAATTTCATCATATCCTTCCGTAGCCACCGTCTCCCTGGCACAGAAGTCTTAAAAGCCTGATGACACATGTTGATATGAATATCTGAGTGAACTTTACTGTTTGAAGAAAATTCTTAAGATCATATGCATCTGCCCTTTTATATTTTTCCGAATTCCGAGAACTCAAAGCAGAATGTTGTTGATACTCCAACAAATTTGGAACTTGGAAGGCATGAGATCCTCTATATACTTTATATTGAACACGTGCCTCGTGATGAATGCAGGACTCATTTACTGAAACTGAAGTAAAGCAACACCTAATACATCTTAAGCTTGTCTAAAATCTGGATAATATATTTATGGTTGGAACCAGAAGTTCTGATACTAAGTGTGGTTGTACTTGATATTAAATGATCTCCAATACAACTACAACGCCATCTCTACTTAAAATGTTACCTTTCTCATTTGGTGCCCTGTAAAACCTTCATATCGCAGCCTGTGGCAATGAATAATGAAGACCTCAATTTTTTTTTTTACATTCATCATTTTTTTCCAGCTCTGGACAATTCAAAGCAGTTGTTATACTTGACTTCCTTCCTTGTGTTTTTTTTTATTTTCGAAGCAGATCAAAATGTTGAAAACCTCATCATGTGCAGTGTGCTCAACTTTATCGGCAAAGTTGATGTCAGGTATGTCAAGATTTTTTAGATATGCCCCTTGAGCAACACCACCCCCCTTGAGCTTTTGTGTCATAGATATGTTTATATAACGGCAATTATTTTTTCTATAGTCCTGGGACATATCTTCTGCACCAAGAACTGCTTAACTTTGTACTGATTGCCATGTCTACTCAACTTCGTTCTGGACCCATGCCAGGATCAAATGATAGGCACCCTTTTATTGATGCTGCAATGTCTCAGGTAATTTAATTAACCTCTCATGCTTTATTCTGATTGCAGTTGTCTTCTGGACTAATGGGATGATTTTTCTGCAGGAAAGCTCTTTGGTTAATTTGGTTGTGCGCAAGTTATTGCTCAATTACATCACACGTCCAGAGTTTTCTGCAAATACCTCATATACCATGATATTATCTGAAAGAAATCCACCTGGTGTTTTAAGGAGAGTTGGCTTTGCAGCTGGTATGATGTTGTCCCACAACATTTATTATTAACTCATAGGTAGATACATCGGCTTCAGTTATTCTGTTGAATCTTTTATCTTAGGGATTATACTTGGACAATAGTTTATTATAGCTTTCTTCATATGGGTGGTTATGATGTTGAGTCATTTCACGCTCAAAATCTGGAACCTATCATGTAGCTCTGATTGTATTACTGGCTTATATTCTAGCGTCGTACTTTGTGGATTTCTGAACACTTCTGTTGGAAAAAATATAGTTTCCATGATCTTTTCTTTTTTCTCCTAGTTTTAATTTTTATTCTTTGGCATGTCCTTATATTGAAAAGGGACATCAGAGATATTGTCAACTTGGCTGCATGTTTCCGTTGTATGTTGCAAGTGTAACTATTTTTACCTTTAGTTTATCATCTTTCTGACCAAACTATAACACATTTTTGCAGCAAGCTTGATGTTGTTGCCCTTCAATTACTTAATTAACTCCTCTGGTGAAGTTTCAAGAAGTCCGTTGTCCGAAGGCAGTCTTAATGTTTTGCTCATTCTTAGTTATTATCATAAATGTAAATCAGTCGACTATGTGAAGTGTAAAGATGATAACAGCAGTTCCGAGTACCTCCTGAAGGAAGAAGTATACTTTTCTGAAAATCCTTTCCGTAAAGCGCTGGAAAATGCCCAGGATATTGAATGTATGGTCCTCTATTTTTCCAGATCTAGTAGTTATTTGATTGAAGATTTCATGATAAATAACAATGGACTAAGGTTCTGAATGTTCTGTCTGCAGTTGATAGGGATGATACTGAGGCAAATGCTCGCGGTGGCCCGCTTGTTAGATTACCTTTTGCATCTCTTTTTGATACCCTTGGCATGTTAGTCTTTCCTTACCATTTTCTTTACAACTTTATGATTTATTAAGTGTTCTGTATAACATTTTTTTGTTGAAGCACTTGCCATCTGTGAAGTTGCAGATTCTAGGGTTTCCTACAGCTTGGTGTCACACCAAGCCAAAGGAAGAAAAAAAAAGGAAAATAAAAGGAATCTGTCAAATGAGCATTAGGATGAAATTAAGGATGCAATTGGATATGAACCAGATAGCATTTTTCATCCCCTAAAGAAAAAATGTGTTGTCCATTCATCTCACTTTTTCTCTCCTCGTTAAATTCAATACTATTTCTAAAATTAAAATCAATCATTAATACAAATTTCACAATGAAATTTACTGTTCATTCACTTACATTTCTAACTATCAGTCATTGTTTTACTATTTTTTTTTTTATTTTTTTATTTTTTTTATCACACTACCTTTTATTATTACTTCTTCATTTACATCATTTCACATTATATATAATTGATTCGTCCTCAATCCTTCTTTCCCTAGAGGGGAAAAAAATGAAAGCATATCTATTTTGCACCCTAAATTTTCTTCTCTAGACCAATGGTTTAACCTATTTTTTTCATTATTCTTGAAGGTGCTTGGCGAATGAAACCTCTGTCTTGTTGCTTTACTCGCTTGTGCACGGCAATTCAAATTTTCTGGAGTATGTTCTGGTGCGAACTGATCTAGATACGCTGGTAAGAATCTGATACATCAACAATCCTATTTATGGGGTTGTCTTATTGGAAAGTACATGAAACCGGTCCGTTATCTGATAACATATTGTATATAATTATCTAATTGAAGAAAAGGCTATTAGTGACTGAGAATAAAGGAAATAATCTTACAGTAGTTTTAATGTTGTTTTAGCTATACATCACATTAGGCTCCTGGATATTGCCATCTTAAGAATTTAAATTCATTTACCGCCACCAATTTGTCTCTTTTAAAATGAAAATACTATAATCTATTGGTTGGTATTAGATTTTCTGTGATAAAAAAAACTAATAAGCATCTATCTCTAGAAGAACACCATCATAGTCGGCACCTCATTCTGCAGATATGAGTTTTCTAAGAACGAATTCATGGTTTGTCGTGTGAATTGATATTCTTTTTCTCCACTAGCTCTATTTGTTGTATGAATATTGATTTGCTATTCATAATGATGAACAGTTGATGCCAATGTTGGAGACTCTTTATAATGCTCAGAGCAGGACATCTAATCATATATATATGGTTCTTGTCATCTTTCTGATATTAAGTCAAGACTCGTCTTTCAATTCCAGTGTTCACAAGCTGGTAAAGATGGTTTTAATTTGCCCATATTAGGTTCTTGTTGTGAGGTGCACTGTAAGTTAACATTTGCTCTTACAGATGCTGCCAAATGTTCCATGGTATAAAGAACGTATCCTTAGTCAAACTTCGCTCGGTTCCCTCATGGTGATAATTTTAATTAGGACAGTGAAGTACAATCTCTCTAAGCTACGGGTAAGAACGAATGCATTTGTATCTTGTACTTCAATTCATTGTAGCCCTTGTTTATTAAAAATATTTCAGTGTTAATCTAATCATTGTGATGACATTGACATTCTTATGGAAGCAGGATGTCTACCTCCATACAAATTGTCTTGCAACTTTGGCAAATATGGCGCCTCATGCACATAGGCTGAGTTCGTATGCTTCACAACGGCTGGTCAGCCTTTTTGATATGCTTTCCCGCAAGTAAGTATTGTCTTATTGTTTTTTGCATGTAGTCGATAATTTCTGTATCCATATTCTCTCTGATTTGATATATCAAGTATTTTAGGTACAATAAATTGGCGGAGATTAAAAACGATAAGATGAGCCTTCCAGATGGTGATCCAAGAGGAGATAGCCTTCTGGATGATCTTGTAAGAAGTCCTTTCTCGTCGACCATCGTTATATACAATTTATTACAACTTTGTCTCGGTTTGTTACATAGTTAAGGCGTATATTTTTAAGCTCGTACTTTGTCCTTGCAGTCAGCTGAGCTGCATATATACACAGATTTCCTGAGACTTGTGCTGGAGATACTAAACGCAATCCTTACTTACGCGTTGCCACAGAACCCGGAGGTATTTAATTTTTGTCATTACTGAAAGCAAATTGGTGGGGGTTTTAATCTAATTGTTGTATACTTGTATTCAGCATTTCTCTTATTTTGGCTGCGACTTTCAGGTTGTTTATGCAGTTATGCACAGACAAGAAGTGTTTGTACCTTTCAAAAACCATCCACGTTTTAGTGAGCTGTTGGACAACATATATACCGTACGTGGTTGCATTTCTTGAGTAAATTCACTTCGATAATGTTTCCAGTTTGGGTTTCGTGATAACGATATCAATAAATCTTTAGACCATCTTAGTGTGCAACAATTTAGACGAATAAATTCTCTCATTACAGGTTTTAAATTTCTTTAATAGCCGTATAGACGCTCAGAAAATGGATGGAGAGTGGTCGGTGGAGAAAGTGCTTCAAGTGATAATTAGCAATTGTCGATTTTGGAGAGGGGAGGGCATCAAGGTATGAACCAAATACTCCTGTAAACAGTTAATTTAGCTCAAACTGTTACTCTGAAGCTTTATATCCCGACTTTATTTTGTTTTTTAAAGATGTTTGCACAATTACGCTTCACGTACGAACAAGAGAGCCATCATGAGGAATTTTTCATCCCATACGTGTGGCAGTTGGTACTGTCTCGCAGGTATGCTTACTGGCCGTCACATACATTTCCTAATCAAAGTCAGAGCACTAACTTCTTTGAGTTGATTCTCTCCTTGTTTGCCTTGGACCTTTAAAAACATTTGAAATTTAATCTGAGGCAATTAATACTGTGAAGATTTTCAAATAAATCGTTAGTCAGTTTTGGTCGTTTAAGATTTTCAAATTATTCCTGTGAAGATTCTCACCTAGTCTTGTTCACACTGTCTTCTGCAGCGATTTCACTTTCGATCCCAGTAGCATAAATTTATTCCCGGTGCCTTTAGAGGTAAGAGTATTAATTTCCATTTATTGATGCTCTTTTCGGTTTCCCTTTTCTTTACAATCTACTGCACCTTTTAGTCCCTATTATTTTTCCCCAAACTGTATAAAACGGATTATCAAAAATTGGATTGCAGGATGAAATGAACGAGCGGGAGGTCGAGAAACTTCAAAATGGCGACCTGACAGAAGATGCACGACAGTTAGAGACACCTGTATAGCTGTTAT